AGTAAAACCAATTCCTAGATTTATTTATTAGTTCAATAGTTTTTTTTACTCTCAATTTTATTAATCTCTTTTTTGATCTTATTGTTTAATTGTGGATTTTTAATTTGTCCTTTTTGTAGTTTTTTTAGTTGCATGCTCAATTTATTGATCTGCCCTTTTTCTCTTTTATCATTGCATACATTTAGAGATAAAAATTTTTAATACCTCATTTCATTTATATCATTTTATTACTTCCAAACTTTGCATAAAAATAACCTGTAAAAACTGTTTCTAATTCTTAATCCTTTTCTTTTCTTTATCCCTTGCAAATGGACTTCTGTTTTCTCCCCTTCCCCCTTGATCATTCTGCCAACAGGACATTGTAAAATCACATCTGACCTCCTAATTTTTACATTTAATGGCTTTTTCTTAGTCTTCATATTCCTTAAAATTTCTGCAACATTTGATTATATTAATGGCCAGTTCCTTTTGTAATTCTTCTTTTAGAGTTTCCATGATATTACCCTATTCTGTTTCTCCCACTGCTCTAGTCATTTTCTGTCACATTCTTAGCTCATTCTCCTCTCAATCTCTACAAGCAGTCATTGTCCAAAATTCATTTTATGACACTCTTTTCTTCTCTTAATATACATTGTCCCTTTTGAATGGAATTGATTGTTAATAAAATTTGCCACCTCTTGGCAGAGAGCTAATGAACTGTTTCAGACAAAGCTAGTATGTTCGTTTGTTTTACTTGACTATTTTTGTTATAAAAACGTGCTTCATTTGGAGGGAGAGAGGATAGGTGACTTAATTGGTAGTAATAAAATTACAAAAAAAGAACATCAATAAAACATTTAAAAACACAGAAGAAAACAAAAAAGTGTAGAAGACAAAACAATATAGCAGTTAATGCCTTATTATATTTAATAATTGCTTAAAAGTCTTGCCATCACTTCAAATTCAACATGTCCAAAGCTGTACTCCCCTACTTGTCATCCCAAAGCTATATTCCTATTTCTTTTGGTAATATCACTCTTTCATTTACCTGTGCTGCAAACTTTGGAGTTCCTAAAGTTTCCTTTTCTCTTTTCTTAACCCCCTCTCCCTTTTACCACATATAACCCATCACCATGTACTATCAATTCTCATTTGTGATATTTCTTTGCATCAACTTTGGATGAACTTCCATTCTAGCGCCATAAATGAGTATTTCCTAAGGCTCTGTCTCAGAGGTGTTTCTATCTATGCTCACTCTCCGTTGGTGATCTCAAGGGATTCCACAGATTCATTTATCACCAGAAATCTTTATTCTTCCATTTTCTTTATGAAGAAGATAAACCTTTGTACTAGAGATGACAGAACGAAAATGCTAAAGTTGTCAGGAGACAGCAAGAGATTATCTGGTTGCCCATAATGAATTGTTACTTGGATAAAATGAACTGCATTCTCAGCATGATGTCTTCTTTAATAATATAACACTGGAGGTCACTCCTAAAATCCCATAGTGTGCACTACAGATAAGGCTACTAAAATTCAAGTCAATCTGTAGGTCTCTACCACTCAAAATGATAGTTCATAATCACTTGCATTTGATTAGCTATAGGAAAAAAAAGTCTAAGCAAAGCATTTAATGAAATGCTACAGTAAGAAAAATAACAATACTGTATTTCCCCCATTCCTGTAAATACATACAATGGGAGAATGAAAACATACTGAAACATTTGTGGCTAGAGTGAAAAGATGGAGGAATACTCATTGGCTTTTACCTTAAGCCTTCCCCCATTCCAAATTTTCCTATTACTGTCCACCATTTCTCAGGCATCCAGGATCATAAACTGAGTAATATCTTTGTCGCCTCACTCTTTCTCATCACCCCCATATCCAGTCTGTTGCCCAGTTCTATTTTACCTTCCTGACTGTCTCTGATACAAGGCCTTCTGTCCTGTGACACTGTCAGTACCCTGGTACAGACGCTCATCACCTCATGTCTGTCCTTTTATAGTAGTCTTCTGATTGTTCTTCCTATCTCAAGTCCCTTCCCACTCCAATCTGTCCTCTACTCGGTCAAATTAATCTTCCCAAAGCACAAATCTGACCATGTTACACACACTGTCACTTTCCCACCCACCCCCATACTCATTCAGTAAACTGCATTGACTCTTTATTACTTTCAGGATCAAATATAAAATCCTTTATTTAGTATTCAAAACCCTTCACGACCTAACCCCCCCCCCTACTTTTCTAGTCTTCTTACAATTTACTCCCCCCACTATATACCTTGTGATCCAATGATACTACCCTCTTTGCTGTTCCTCTCATAAGAGGCCTTTTCCAGACTGTAGTCATTTTCACTGGCTATTTCCCACACCTGATTACTCTCTCCTGACCTCTGTGGCTTTCTTCAAGTCCCAATTAAAATCCTATCTTCTACAAGAACCCATTAATGATACCCCTTAATGTTTGTGCTTTCCATTTACTAATTCTCTCCAATTTATATCATATATATCTTGTTTGTATATATCTTGTAGTTGCTTACATGTTGTCTCTGCAATTAGATTTGAGCTCTTTAAGAACGAGGCCTGTTGGGGCAGGGAGGTGACGCAGTGGATAGAGTACCGGCCCTGAAGTCAAGAGGACCTGAGTTTAAATCTGGCCTCAGACCAGACATTTGACACTTACTAGCTGTGTGACACTGGGCAAGTCACTTAACCCCAAATGCCAAGAAAAAAAAAAAAGAATGAGACCTGTCTTTTGCAATTCTTTGGATGGCCAGGGCTTAGGACAGTGCCTGGCGCATAGTAAGCGATAACCTACATAGTAGACAATGACACACAAATATGAAAAAGCAAGACAATCAAAGGGAAAAGGACCTATTTGTACAAAAATATTTATAGCAGCTCTTTTTGTGGTGGCAACAAATTGGAAACGGGGATGCCCATGAATAGGGGAATGACTGAACAAGTTGCGGTGTATGAACATAATGGAATACTATTGTGCTATTAGAAATGAAAATCAGGAGGCTCTCAAAAAAACCTGGAAAGACTTACATGAACTGATGCAAAATATTTGATATTGCTAACAGCAAGAGGGAGAAAAAGCCTCCTTTCCCTTTCTGAGATTTTCAGTCAATGAATCTAGTCAAAAAGCATTTATTAATCACCAATTATGTGTCAAGTACTGGGTGAAGCTCTGGATACATATTGGAAACTATCTCTATTCTCCAGAAATTTACATTTTTAATAGGGGAGACAAGTATACAAACACATACAAAAATACATATATCTGTATAATAACTTAGAGACACACATACACATGGGAGCTGATGAAGTAACCAAGAGAGAGTATGTGTGTGTATGTGTGTGTGTGTATATATATATATACAGAGAGAGAGAGAGAGAGAGAGAGAGAGAGAGAGAGAGAGAGAGAGA